GCCCGATAAATCCCCCTGTCACCGCTAACTGGAATTAATGAACGGGTCGCAATTAAAGAAACGGGATAGCTCGTTGGTTTGTTTTGATCATTAAAATTGTTACAAATCAAATACAAGCTACTAGTTAATCCGTTTTTGACTGTCTACCAATAAACGTGAACGGATATTTTATTAATTGGAAAATTGTTTCATAAAGTTTTTGCAACGATTTTATCAATGTTTCAATTTAATTTGTGAAAATATTAATAATATGTAGTACTTATAGCATTTCATTCATTTTACACGTTACATTGTCGAATTAACAAGAATCATCGTCCATCAATCATACAATAACTTAACGACTACCCGCATTTTGCAAAGTTTGATAACCGCAAATATCCTTGACGGGCAAAGGAAAATACCTGACGCAGCTAACTTATAATTAATGAAGCATAAAGCAAAAACTATCATATTCCCAGACAGAAACAAAATCCGGTTTTATAATTGAGCCCGTCCTCAACGAGTTGGGTGCAAATAAATCGGCAATATTTATGAAGTGGCGGTCAACAGCCGCGTGCGCAGCGCAAGGCGCAGGCGCACTATTAATAACGCGCGGTTTGTTTACGGTTACTAGATAGCAATGTTTACCTTTTTCACGCTTTTAATCTTTCGGCGCTCACATGTGTCCCTTACAACACTGGCTGTGAAGTTTATTTACCTATCAAGTAATTTCAGCAAGTTAAATTGATGTAAACCAAATACATAAACGATTTGACTCAAAGTACGATGCAATAGGTTTCAAGAAAGTTAACAAACAAGTTACTTTTAAAACAAAGTGTAGGTGATGCGAGGGAATGATTCAATGCACTCGATTTGATATAGCTCAAACGATTAACTTTTAAGTGGGACCGATGATCTTAAAGCAATCGTGACTGAAATTCGCGATACGAAACAAATGACTGAGCGGACCGCTTTACCTTGTTTTAGCGTTTGATTCGTGTCAAAAAGTTGGAGGAAACCCACAAAACACGGTCATTATTTAGTAACACTGCACTCGCGAACTGTGGGGACGTGTGAAACGCGCTGCGGAGTGCGGAGCGCGCAGCGGCCGGGTACAGACTGGCTGCTGGCTGCCTCGGGACTCCAGCGAACAAGCAACGACCGACCCGAGCACGCCACTCGACTTTAAACCATATTACGACGGATAACACTTCACAAACTGACGGGATTAGCTTGCGTCTTGAGCCAGGACAGTGAGACGATGCTCTCGCCAATAAAGCTTTTTAAGGATGTCGTCGACGTCATTATTATACAGCCCGGAGTTATTAAGAACCTAAAACAAGTCTCTAATAAGTTGACTTTTAGTCATCGTTTATTGAAGTCGCACAAAGAGAAATAGTTTTTGAACTTACTAGTGTGTTCCACAGCTCTACAGGTATCCGATAGTCTTCGTTATATCTATCTGTAACATAAGAAATGATTGATATAATTTTTATTGATAACAAAGTTCAAGTAATACGAGTATTATATCAACAAACATAATGATTAATGACTTTGTAGTATTTGTATTAAAAAAAAAAGAGTTTCATTGCGTAGGTATACTTTTATTAACTTTTGGATATACACCGTGTTACTTTGCATTCTTGCCATATTCACAGAGATAAAAGTAGGGAACAATACCTATTATTTAAGATAAACAAGAGACCCCCATAAAGAAAGTACACTAAGATTTTAGTAAATTTGGTTTTTCAGTACAAATTGGAATAAACCCATTTTGTCTCATACGTTCTACAGGTGCAAGTAGTGTTCCCGAGGCCTATAGGCTTTTAGGCTTTTTTTTAAGGCTAGCCTATGAATTAGGGGCTACAGCGGGAAAAAAGGCTAAAAAGTCTTTTAGGCCTTTAGGCTAGGCCTTTTTCATAGCCTTTTTTTTGTCCACCCGATTACTATAGGCTTTTAGCCTTTTTGTAGGCTAGGCGCATATTTAAAAGGCTTGAAAGGCTAAAAAGCCTATAAAGGTTTTTAGTCCTTTAGGCTAGGTCTATTTTATTTATTTTTAACCGACTTCAAAAAAGGAAGAGGTTATATTGGACTGTATGTATTTTTTTTCTATGTATGTTCACCGATTACTCCGTCAATTTTGTGGACCAATTTTCAAAATTTTTTTTTTGTTCGATAGGGTACACTTCTGAGGTGGTGCCATTGTTACTAAGTCAGGACCTGATGATGGGATCCTAGGAAAATCGAGGGCAACCCTCAAATTTTATAGGCACGTATATCGTTTTTCAAACTTTTTAAGTTATTCAAGTATTCGCACCTGGAATTAATCATGATCTCATAATTATTGATGAGCTGATGATAGAAGGTAAAACTACTTAATGTTTAGGAGTTGGAGGATAATTATTTAAATATTATAGGTACAAATAGACCAATAGTTGTATTCTTTCATGTTTTTAAGGTGGGCTGACGGTTTAAGGTCTTTTTAGGTTGCCGATATGGTAACCTGTATTTTGTAGGGAATATTATTTTACACTAGACATGAAGAATATTGGTCTCAATGTTCTGCCTACCTTCGGTGGTAACATCAAGGTAATAATTAGTTAACTAAAAAGCAAGAAATAAGTTAAATTTTATAAAAAAAAATATATCAAAAAAGAAATTATATATTTTGGAAACTTTATTAAATTTTAGTTTTTAAGTAATTTTAAGTTAATGTATTATTATAAAATTTATTCTCGAATTTTGGAAACAATGTATAACGTTTTTATTTAATTAGAAAATAAATGCAATACAAAAATACTTGTTTCATTCATACGAAGCCATGGCCTGAATAATGGCTATAGCCTTATAATAAGCCTACTACTCGAAAAAGACTTTAGTCGGAAATAAAGCCTAAAAGGCTATTTTAGGCCTACAGGTTTTTTTAAAACCTATAGGCTTTTTATAATGAGTAGCCTTTTAAAAGCCTAGTAGTCTATCATGGCCAAAAAAAGAACTAAATAGGCTTAATTTTAGGCCTAAAAGCCTATAGGCCCCGGGAACACTAGGTGCAAGTGGAATAAACCTAGTGGGCGTGGCCTAGTTCTTAATAATCTGTTGTTTTATGGCTCTGGGTACCAGCCTTTTTATCCAGTCATAATAATTATTTTAAAATACTCTTCAGTTGATTTCAGATTTTCCTTTCTACTTTACGGGCTTAGGACCGTCAAAAATACGTAATAATTATTAGGGTTTTAATTAATTTTAACATTGTACCCTATTTTTACAAATTAATAAATTAAGTAGGAAATGAAATCACCTTATTCACAATTAATTATTTATTTATAAGTTCCTACTTACAAAGTTTACGTACTGCGAAGCAAGTGTTCAAAGTGTCCTCCGTTCTGAAGAAGGCACAGTCTAGCACGGCGAAGCGTAGGTTTTTCGCTTTAGTTTTCGCAACACATAAACGTTTTGTCTCACAGTTTCACTAAAACAATCCTTTCATGTAACGCGTTTACACTGTTTATCTCTTCTGCGCATACCAGTCGTTTCAAGTCACTCCAAAAATCCATTGGTGTCAGGTCCGAGGATCGTGGTGGCCAAGCTACTGGACCACTTGTCCAATCCACTGTTCACCAAACGTATTATTCGCGCACTTGACGTCCTTATTGTGGGGGAGCACCATCCTGCTGGTAGTAGAGCATTTGGTGTAACGCTAAGGGTACGTCATCAAGCATTTCGTCTAAGACGTCTTGCAGACACTCCAAGCACCATTTTGATTAAATTATTCGTTGTTTGAATACACTTCAGACATTTTTGTATTATTTATAACGTGATTTGTGATTGATGGATTTCTCAGTTTTTTCCAAGTGTCAAAAAGACATTTTAAAGACAATAGATTGCAATAGATATTTAAAAATACAATAAAAAGTAAAAAAGTCTTCATCGCCATCGCCAACAAGTGATGTGCATGCGTTACGATAATTAGTGATGTGTTTAACAGATTATCGATAAAATAAAATACTCAAGATTAAAAAAAAATTTTTCGGGTATTATTTTTTTAGGGATTTGTGTTCAGTATCAGTAATATAGTAACCTCTGTAAATATGGCAAGAATGCAAAGTAACACCCTGTATGCGTACTTACTGTTTGTAGAAACTTAGCTTCAGAGTTAAATGTAGAGACTATTTTAAACTTGATAGAGTAGTCTTATAACCATTAGTCAACCTTCAAACCAATGACCTAAAAGTTAAGCAAATGATAATGCACATTCATCTAAAGTGCTCTTGATAATAACGATTGATTTTAATTAGCTGTAAGGTCCACTAATAAGGATGTATAATTAGAACGCATATGCGATACGGTCAGACGGTCCCGCCTGACCCGCGCCAATCGCCGGCACAAACGCTTCATTGGCAATAATTATCGTCCCCCGTTAGCATGACATCTGCTTCTGTCTGGACGATCGATTTATTGATTTGATCGCACTCAATTGGTATTTGACTTGCGCCTGATCAGAAATTCGTAGCAACTATTCATTTGGTTCATTGTGTACCATCATGAACTTCGATTTGTCATTTCAAGAAATGACAACAACAAAATAAATATAAATCATGAGATAGGTACATACATTTTGTCATACAGTGAGTAAGTAGCGAGCGTATTTTCCTTTAGGTAGATGCCATTTTTATAAGCTGACGAGTTTTGTCATCGAAATGACATAGTTTGAGAAATATTCTGCTAAAGTTAAGGGTGTACTGTTTTAAATAAAACAAATGAATTAATTTCTTAAAATTTATTTTCTATGCAACATAAAAAAATATCCATCATAGTTACACAATAAATTACAGTTACTTAATGCGAACTAAAATGTAAATTATTATAATTCGTGATCCTTCATATTCGCACGAGCTCAGAAATAGTTTCGTCCAGAAATAGAATACCGTGTTGCAATTTGTCATGTTTCAACTTTTTTATATTAATTAATAAATGCAACCTATAATCTAATTTAACAAAACACCTCCAATGTGGGTTAAAAAGCTTGCTTAGCATTTATCGTTCAGGAATACAGATGCTGAAATTTTGTACGTGCCTTGATTTTTATCGACCAAAGAAAATTTTACAATGGGCGCCAATGGTACACACTATCCGAGTTAACATTTTGATTTTGTGATGTTGTTTGAAGTAGTTCTAGTACTTAACCATATTAAAGCCATAGTCAATAGGTGGTAAATGAAGGGGATAAGTGTAAACCAGATGTAAATATAAAATACAGTGCAAATATAACAGGAAACAAGGCAAGGAAGACGAAACAATGATACGGGATTACTTCGACGCTGACTTCGACATGACTTACAAAAGTTAAGCATCTGTATTTGTCATCATTAATCTATAAACAACACTGATTGTACCATACAACAATTATCTACTTGCTTTCATGAAATACTATATCGTAACAACTTGAATCTATTGCCTTCTGTCGTTCAACCTTTCGTACGGCTACGTACAATTTGTAGTTCTATCACGTCGGGACAAAATAACCGTACAGATATTTGTAATGATCACACCGCACAAATCCGCTTAACTACGCTTGTCTTTCAGTAATAAATGAGCGAAATATATTTATTACAGTTGCATGATCATATTATTACATACATAAATACATAATTGTGACAGCGACACTACGTAAATGCAAACATTGTGCTCGCGAGAACATACTTCGGTCTAGGATGTGACTCTCGTTAAAATAATGAAACAGTACGAATATACATTTACATAAGGCAAGTTACGATTGTAGTCATTACATGTTACAAAGTAAATGAACACATGTGAATTCTAAGAATTTCAAAGGGAAGGCAGTGACATAAATCACCGTAATTTTGGTGAGGACATATTCAACAATTTAACGTCATCAAAGTGTTACACCGAGAACTAACAAACGTCCGAGACAGAGTTTCAACAGCGGGTAAAAAGCGACAAAAAACAGACGCGAATCGAACAAGGCTCTCCTACTATTAATTAATTAATATTAATATATATTAAATTCTTACTAGACAATAGACATGATAAAGATTCCTTAACAAATAACTTAAAGGGGTTACGATAACAGTGCCTTCAAATATAAATATAATGCAATGTATAAGGTACCAATGGTTACAGTGTAAGCTCTAAATCAGAACGATCAAAATCTTGCCATAAACACGTTACGATCGAGAAACTATACAATAGATTAGATCCGAAGGGAATAAATACAATAATAGATAATTATAGTTATGAAATAAAAATAAATAAGTTACTTTGTGGTTTCTATCGTAAACGGCAGTCTTTAGTTTTAAAAACATTGTTCAGATTACATCTGACCGTCGCGTACAATGAGAAACTCGATAAATAAAGAGAACTCTAAACAAATCAACATGGTTAAACCGCGTGGAATGTATTACTTAGGACCCGACACCTTTCAGGCGAAGAAAGAATATGCACAAATAAAATTTATAAAGTACACCGTCCGACTTATTTAAGCACGTACTCTGTGGAGGTGGCCCGGCCGACGACGCAACATGTTGTCGTGCACTTAAATGTCTCGCAGTGTACCTCACGGACCGGTACAACGATGTTACGTAAAGCAAAGAACGAATACATGTTACAGTATAGATGCGACAAGCGAACGCGTTAGCCGACTAACATTAGTTAACACGAGACCCTAGCCTTAAATCTAAACACGAGATACAATTTGAGATATCATCTTCATACGGGGTGGAGCTGACCGTCGATACATTTTTGAAAAAGTTTCAAAACTAGTAAATATAATTTTTGCGAAGGGCTACAACTGATTTAAAAATCGCATCAGCCCTCTCCACTCCGTAATCGTCCAAAATGAGAAACATCAACTTGGGATAACTTGTTAATGTGAGTGGTGCGAACAAACTTCATAAATGTTAAATACAAAAAGCTTTAGAAATCTTACCCTACTACGCAAGAGAGACACCTCACTGACGAAACACGTTCGAATGGGGGTGGAAGTTAAATAACCCGTACAATTCGTCAGTTGGAGAAAAGTTTAAATAGCTATCAATGGTTGTACACTTTATACGACCTTGGTAAATGTATTTCTAATTCTTGAGATTCGATTTAATATTATTACAATCTAATATCATATTTTAGCAGCCAGAGATTTCTGATCGACCTGCCAAACGGCGCGGCATAACCGAGATTCGACTTATTTAAAATTGAGATTAACTTCTGTCATAGAATAAAGATAACTAGAGAAGACAATGAGATTCCTGATTATGTAGCTGCAAAGATTATGCCGGCGTCGAGTGGCGGGCAGTGGTGACATCCTTACGTACCAGATCACAACATCGATTCCATCACCGCGCTATCCCCCGCGAAGCACCAACATCAGCCGGTGGTCACACTGCGCCGTACAAAAATATATCCTAATACAATTCGCTCGTCTTGACACACTTGATGTATGGAAAAATATGCATCTACTCCCAGAAAGTTACAAGTTTTCAAGTATTAGGAATCGAATAAGCTTTGTCCGTTTAAAAATATAGATACATCTGGAAGTTAAATAGTTCAAAATTTAAAATATTTTGTCTCTAACGACGCTACTGAACAGTCATATTTTTATTTTCACAAAATACTTTTTCTCGATGGTCCACAGACAATTTGTGATCTAAGTGTAAATAGATGTGAATAGCATAGAAAAATAATGCGATAGAGGAATTCTATATAGTATACATATATCAGACAATGTTATATAGATGCAACATTTAACCAAATAGTTACAATACAACGTGACCGTTGTCGATTTGAAGCATTTCTGCCGTTACTCCCGCCGCTAAGAGCTCACTTCAGTCTGACCACCGGCATCCAGAGCTAATAATTTTATCCATTACCTATTTTCTGTGACAAAAATAGCTTTTCTTAATTTCAAATCTTCACCAACTACCGTATCCTTAATTTACAAGTAATTGATATCGAGCCAAAACATCGCCTACGTACATCCTATTCAAGCCGCTGAGATGGGTGCTCCGCTACTGAAACTCCGATTGCTTCATAAAACAACCAAGTCTTTATAGGTGTTCAAAAGTAAATTACCCGTGAAAATATTTATTTCACAGACAGTGAAATATTAAAACAAAATATGATCATAACAATCGGTTTTCCAGTACCAGACAGTGTCAGGTTATGATGACTATTTTACTTCATTACTTAAAATCAGTCTCATAAAGAAAAGAACCTATTTTCCTTTTTGTAGATACTGATGAAAACTTGACCACATTCAACTGTGCCAGCGCAATATTAGAAAGTGATCACGTCGCTTGACTATCCAAATGTTGGACCAACATGACACTGAATTGGTTATAATTTGATCCAACATTTGGATGAGTCGATACACAGACTGACAATAACCGTACATAATGAACAATATAAAAATCTATATATTTGAATAGCCTTCACTACTGACACTACATTCAAGGGCCAAACTAACAGAATAGTAGGCTCTGATTTCAGCTTATCCTAACTTGGCCCTACTAATAAATTTAACTAAATAAAGTGTCCAAAACTGTCGTTTACATACCAGACATCAGTGCTGTATTCATAAGAGAAATGAAGACTAGTGGCAGTAATTTGCATGATGTGATTCGTCTCGTCGTTTCGGAGAGCCAAGTATTAGTCATCTCTTTTACTCTTACAACAAATCGGAATAGAGGAAAGGAGATGGAAATTGTTACATTGGCTCATAAAGTTGAATTAAATTCATGTCAAACTAAACTTAAATTATTCGATAACCGATGTTCACAATCCGAAACACTCGATGTCAGAAGTAGGCCTGAACAATGCAGTGCAGACATTAAAAACGGATACATAGATATGCAAATCGAGCGTCGGTTACAATCGATTAGTCGAAAGAACATAATCGTAGCTGCCACTGAGCGGACGACGCGACGAGACGAAGTTTTTGACATTGATTGACGCAGTCGCCTGGACCCGTTACGCGTTAACATCACGCCTAATGATAGGGATTGTATACATGTGGTCATTTCTAAATGTATAACACAAAGGTTCAATCTGATATTATCGCTAACATTATGTAGCATTGTATTAAAACATCAATTACAGTATTGAAAATAATTTTGACATGAAATCGACGAAATGTTTACCACTATGTAGACAGCCCCCGAACACGTTTATAATACAGTAGCATTTCAACTGTCTACCACACATCGCAGTACGCTCTATCTACAATCTACACTACGGGACCTGTATATCGGTGGTCCTACCCATAAAATTAATATACCTAGCGGAATAGAGCAACAAAGAACTGTGAGCGAGATGTCACTAGCAGCAACACTGTGTGATAAAAAGAGATGCGTGATGCCGTCGCCTTCACGTCAAACGGAACCATTTTTTGCAACTATTTGACAGTTCGTTAGCACTTATTGGCACGCTGAAAATTTGCGGAGATATTTCCAGCTTTTACGTGACTGAAATCGTGGATGTTTCTGAGAAATAATGCTTCAGAAACGTGGTGACTGCGTGATTGAATTACTGTACAAAACGTTGTAATAATCCTGACAACTGAAACACAGATGACATCCAGTGTCATCAATAATCGGTTTCGTTTAGCTCGTGGTTGCTCTATTCCGAAGGAATAACAACTTTACGGTCCTACCTTAGGAATAGTTTACATCGGAGCTGAGGTCCGTATAGTTGGAGCGGCCAAGGCGTCATTTTGGCATTGTTCTGTCTGTGTGTGATGTGGGCGTGGCTACTGGTTTACACGTAGGTGGGTGGTTGAGCGCCGGGCGGCGCGGGCGCGGGCGGCGGAGGCGGCGGAAGCACGCGCGCGCCCGGCACGTACTGCCCGATGAACGAACCGTCTTCCGTGAAGCGACCTGTGCGTGTAACGGGTTAGTAGAATGTGTTGAGACCTTACGGGTAAAATCAGTTTTCAATAACGCGAATGACTAATCAGGCAGTATTTTTTTTTGTTTATCAAAAATATTGAACATCAGCACTTGTATACAGTGCCTTCTTATAACATTTTTTAACTTGTCGACTTGGCTGAATGTTGACTAGGCAGGAATAAACTGATAAACCTGCAAGGCCTTCATTGGATTCTTAGGTCTAAAACAACCAATAGTTGTTTATCAATAGACTTGTTGGTTGGGTTAACTTTTGTACGGTTGAAAATCTAAATAAGACTCCACAAAAATTTTTTCAACAAAAAAAGAAAAACGCAAAACTTTAGTAGGCATGAAAATATGAAAAATTCAAAACATGCAAAAATAATGAAATAAAACAAAAAATAACATACCTCAATAACTTAACATTAGCGTTGCTCGTGCAAAGGCAAACAAGGAAGGAATGTGGGGACGAATGAATGGACGTGCCGTCTAACACTACGTACTAAATGCACAACAATATAATCAACCAATAAAATAAACAAGCATGGTGTAAATAAAAAAAACTCAAATAAGTAGGAATAAATTTCACTCCAAAAATCACTCATAATTACATTATTTTACATCTAATTTTAAGATATTGTGTACTTAACGTCTAACCTAAGTTCGTAAAAGATTACGCAGTGGAGATTTCAAGTTGTTTATGGACGAGTGAAAGTAGGCTTTATATGAACTATTTTTTAAATAGTAGAATAAAGACCCTGAGCGCCCGTTTATACCTAAACACTGGCAGTACAATAACTAAGTCTAATAATATGTTCTGAAATCAGATCTATAGAGATTGTGAAATTTTGTGGGCGGATTCACCGTTGTGTGAGCCAATCGAATCGAAGATCGTGAAGGCCTACGGCGATTGGTTGTTTTTGATAGGACACAATGGCACTATGTTATCGGAAGTCTTTAGCCGTGTACTTGACGACAAAAGTAATTAGGAAACAGTTAATTTTTAATCAGGACGGTTCTTTTGAATTTTATTGCCTTTTATCGAGTTTCATCGTAATAAACAACAAAAATATTGAAGAATGAGGACTGTTTGAATCTAACCTTACTAATAAAACTTACACGCACGTTGAACCGTATTTAAAAGTGACGATGGAGATGTCATTTTAAAAGGTTCAACATGCATGTGACTTTATTCGTAACAGTATTTTTTTCAGTTCATCTAATTACAGTAAGTAGCATTAAATTTTGTCGCCAACAAACAGCTTTAGCGGCAAAGGGATTCAGTCATCCAGGCGGAGATGAGGTAAGGTAAAAGGTAAGGTAAAGGTAAGGTTTAGACGAGCGTGGCGAAGGCCTGTGAGGCGGAGTCGGGCTGGCCGGGCGGCGGCCGCCGCTTGCGCCCGTACTGGCCGATGAACGAGCCGTCTTCGTTCATGCCCGCTACACAACATGCCGAGCGGTCAAACACATGCCAAACGGTAGCTTAGCTAAACAAATCGCACGTTTAGCGTTCTTTCAAATTAGACGTTTTTAGTAGGACCGCACACTAACGATGCAGTTGTTAGGCTGGTTTTAGGGTCACACAGCCGGTCTGTATAAACTGCTAGGAAGCGGAGCGGTTCCTCCGGACCGCATTACTCTAAAACGCTCCCTAGAAGTTCATAGAGACTGGCCGTGCGGAGCGGGTCCGCACCGGACGGTCCGCGTGACTCTAAAACCAGCCATATAATTTACTGTGTGTGGTCCTGCAAACGCACAACAAACGTCCGGCTCAAAACGTCTAATTTGAAAGAGCTCTTAGGCCCGGTTTCCAGCAAAGGCTTTGCTGATTTGCTGCTTGCAAAACTGAGAGGAGACAAGAGAAACTTCGATTCGGAAATCAGCCGGAATCCGCCACCGGCATCAACTTGTACACACGAAAATGTATGTAAATATGCCGGTGGCGACGTTTTGTGGCTGTGGCGTGAAGCCCGTGTGTAGCGACCCTGATTGGTTATTTAAAATACATTTCCTCTGTTTTGGTGGAAACTGGGCCTAATGTGAAGACTGTCACTATGGGGATTTTTTTTTTGGTTAATACCGCCATCTTACAGCGTGCGCTCTCAAAAGTACAATAGACAATTTGACACCATTTCCCAATAATTCGAAATCACAACTTTTCTAAAAAGACACCATTCTGGTCTTAAAAACTTAATTAATTTTAAATTACGTGTATAAATTACGATTTTTGGTCGCATTGTAACTGAAAAAAGTAGTTTATTCGAGTTGACAAAATATGTGACGTCACTTGCTTGTAGTGCCATACAAAATCTATGGGAGAGTTTCGTTTTGACAGTTTTAAAAAATACGTCAATTGATTGGTGGTTTCAACATGTCTATTTTGGTTGGTGACAGTCTTCATATCATGTGCGCAATGTCAAACAAAAAGAAAAGTTATAACAAAGAAAAAATAAAAACATCAACTTCTAATAGCATAGCAAAATTAATAAATCAACGCTGTGTGCCTACCATGAGTTTACGTTAGGTGAGCTCGCTAGCGAATACGTCAAAAAATTCTATGAAGATCTTATTTCTTGAAAGTAGCCACTAGGGGCGCTGCACAATATGTCATACATTCAAATGTCATTTTTTTACGCAGTCGCTAGCGAACACACCTAACGTAAACTCATGGTAGGCACACTGTACTAAAAAAAGCATGACACAAAGACGAAAATCTAAATGGTTTGATTCAAAATGTTTCAGGACTCAGTTATACTGGCCTTATTGAATGCTATGCGAGTAAGAGAGCAAGCACGTTTTGAATGTATTCAACACTGAAAGTAACTTTTTGGACAACGATTTAACATTTGAACCAGTTTTGATATTTTCATAACTGAAAACATTATTTCAAATCTTGCAATATATCATTGTAGCTTTCAGGCAACTTCTACAGAAAGAACGTAAATGTTAAATCACCGTCTCATTGCAGTTTTAATGGCTTGTATAAAAACTTCATTCGTTTACCTGTTTCTCCTTCGCCATACTCAGCCATGGAGTCGGTATCGCTCTCGGGCCCGGGCTTGGTGCCGCTGCTCATCGAGTGTCGCGACTTGTTGTCAAGGCTGAAACGAAGAGTTATGGTGAGTTAGGTATAGAGTTTTTGTTTGTTTGTGGGATATGAGTTGGTTACTTTTCTTAGCAGTGAGCTGACAATAGAGAAGTAAGGGAATATTCACATTGACCGGCGCGAATCGGCGCGTTCGCCCAAGAATGCGGTGGAATGCACGCGTATTCGCTGGAATACGCTCGGAGCTGACCGGTTTCCGACGCATGCTCGCGCATACGTCAGTATTGAAATGTCAGTTAATCAGTTGTAAGCAATTACGACTTTAAGAACTGTTAATAAGGCAGGATTCACATTGACCGGCGCGAGTCGGCGCGCAGCGCAGCGTCCGTTCGACCAAGAATGCGGTGGAATACGCGCGTATTCGCTGGAATACGCTCGGAGCCGACTGGCTTCCGACGCATGCTCGCGCATCCGTCCGGATTAAAATGTCAGTTAATCAGTTGTAAGAAATTACGACTAAGAACTGTTAATAAAATACTATTTTCTTTACGCCCGTGTAAGTGCGCTCCGACGCGTTCTACGCACTAGTGTACACTAAAGCCTGGTCCGTGAGCATGTAGAATTTTGTCCAATGACCCCAAGCTACCCATCCTTATCGCTCGCGTGTAATTATGTTGCTGTCGCGACTATGCGACGTGAGTGAGCCCGCAGTGAGTGTGAGAGCGCAACAGCAACATAATTACGCGCGAGCGATAAGGATGGGTAGCTTGGGGTCATTGGACGGGATTCTACGTGCTCACGGACCAGGCTTTAGCATCAGCTGTACTCACGGGTGCGTGTACTCGTGGAAGCCGCCCTCGGCGTAGTCGCGTCGTCCGTGCGCTAGCTCGCGGTCGTGCACGTCGTACTTGCCGCCGCGGTTGCGTCGTGCCACACACACCAGCACAAGCACAAGCAATAAGAAGGCCAGCGCCAGCATGACGCCGATGAACCAGCCGGCCGTCGCCATCTTGTCGTCGCGCACCATCACCGGGCCATCTGGAAAATTATTATTGTGGTTTGAACATATTCGTCGTCGTTTCAGCCAAATGACGTCCACTGCTGGACAAAGGCCTCCCCCAAGGTTTTCCACAATGAACGGTCCTGCGCTGCCCGCATCCAGGCTCTTCCCGCGACCTTTACCAGATCGTCGGTCCACCTAGTAGGAGGCCTGCCCACGCTACGTCTTCCAGCCAGTGGTCGCCACTCGAGAACTTTCCTATTATCTATTGAACATATTATCACGACAGATTCTTTTTTTTTTGCAAAACAAGGCAGGTATATGACCACAATCGCACCTGGTGTTAAGTGAGATGCAGTCTAGGATGACATATTTGCCCTGTAAGCACCTATTCACTATTCCCTTGAAAAGGCCCGAATAGACATGTTGACACCACCAATCAATAGACGTACTTTTTAAAACTGTCAAAACGAAACACTCCCATAGATTTTGTATGGCACTACAAGCAAATGACGTCACTATTTTGTCAACTCAAATAAACTACTTTTTTCAATAACAATGCGATCAAAAATCGTAATTTACAGTTAATTTAACCCTAGAGTAGTCGCGCCTTTCTGTGAAACGTGAGTGCTCGCGTATGAGCATTTTGCCGCCCAAACTTAAAGTCCGGTTGTGTGTCAAATAACAGTTTAAAAATATGAAAATCAGTTAAAAATGATAGAATAAAGCATACACTATTAGAAAATAACGTTTATTAAAGATTTGTGGTTAAAATTTAAAGAAAAAAAAATTTTGGAAATGTTAGGAAATATTTATAGAAATCTTAGAAACACTATTGTTTTTACCTACATACATCATCAAATATTAAACTTACTAGCACACTTAAAGGTTTTCCTTACATATGACATGTGTTTCAACAAAACAGGCCTGTCACATGTGCATTTAATGTACGTTGCACAGTAAATTTGCACAACTATTGCACCCTTGGCACATCATCTTCAGATTCTGCCGCTGATTGTTCTATAACAGTATTGTAATGACTATGTTTACTTTCTTTATAACTTTAGTAAATATTTTCCACTAATTTTAGTGCACCAGCTTCTTCGAAATCCGACATCTTCCTTGTTTTTTAATTTTTTGTATTTTACGTGAATTTTACCGAAAACGACATGAAATAAATTAAGCACTAATAGTAATTATCAATGTTATGACGTCATTAATGTCAAAACAACATTATACGCAATGAAAACTAATAATCTTCCAACTACACTAAAAACCAGACACACAATTTTTACTTACGTCAGTAGTCGCGCAGTGAGCAATTTGCCGCAAAACGTGACATACGTTCAACAATCGTTCTCTATTGCGGTCACCTGTGCACTAAATTTCTTCTAATTTCTAATACATAGAGGTGAAGTATGGGGAGGCAGCTACTGAAATGCTTGACTTTAACAAACGCATCGTGTAGAAAATAACTCGATTTTATTGCAGAGGGCGGCAAAATGCTCATAGCGCGAGCACTCTAGGGTTAAAATTAATATAGTTTTTAAGACCACAATGAAGTGTCTTTTTAGAAAAAAATTGATTTCGAATTATTGGTGAATGGTGTCAAATTATCTATTATAATGTTCGGGAAGACAGCAGCAGGCAGCGAATTCCAGTCCCTAGCCGTTCGCATTATAAGAGTTATCGAAACGCTTAGTGCGAGCTTGTGGAATGTCGAATATGTAGGGATGATACGCTGACCTGCGTCTGGTTCCCCGGTGATGGAATGATGGATATTATGGCTACGTGACTTGCGACAGCTGGAAAGATAGCGTTAGCGGTGTCAGACTGAACAGCGACAGTCGCCGGCGACTGAGACGATATACGTCAAACCCAAACCCGTGTTTCCGTTTATGACGTCACAGGTAGGTAGGATCACTAAACCGGTCGCGACCACTGTTATTCCAAAAATCAAAGTGTGAACTTAAAAACTACATCTTACTAGCGGCCGCCCGCGACTTCGTACGCGTGGATCCTGTTTTACCCCCTTTTCCCGAATTTTCTTTGCTATAAACCTCACGGAGCCCGAGACCTTTCCAACGAATGCAAAACCGTGGAAATCGGTTCGTGCGTTCTGGAGTTATAGCGTCAGGGAGGAAAACCCGACTTATTTTTATATAGTAGATGAACAAGCGGTATTCTATAAACTGTAACTGTACCTTTTTACAAAATAAGATAAAAAAAAATTAAAAAAAACATGCGCTTCTAACTCACATGACTCACCGATGGTAGTGTCCACGTCCTGTATCTCGCTGGTGCTGAAGTACTCGCCGTCGTGCGCCGTGATCTTGACCTCGTACAGCTGGCCGGGCTCCAGCCCCGTGAGGATGACGTAGTCGTCGTCCGTGACGTCATTGGTGCGCAGCCACTCCGGCCGGCCTTGCAGTCGGTACCACACCACGAAGTGCGTCCCTGCATGCCCGTCGAGAGACGGCAGCCAGCGCACTAGAATGTGAGCCGTGCCCTCCTTAGCCGGTAGCGTCGAAGTCGTGAACAGAGGAACATCGGGCACCGCGTTCACTACCCCTTTAGTAGTCTGCTCGACGAAGTATTTATCCCCTTCCCCCGCTTTGGTCTTCGCTCGGATCTCGATCCGATACTTCGTATTCGGTTCCAGTCCGGCCAACTTCGCGCGGTCGAAGCTCGGGTCGATCTCCTTCTTCCTCTCCTGGAGCGGGCCCAGCGCGGTGCCGGTGACCTTCTGGTAGGAGATTTTGTAGCTGGTGAGGACGCCGTTCTCGTCGACGGGTTTGTCCCACTTTAGCAGCATGGCCGAGGAGCCGATCGGGTAGGCCTCGAAGGACTTGACGGTGCCGGGTTTTCCCTCGGGAGTCACGAAGCTGAGGACGTCACTGGGCGGGCCGTTGTATCTGCCGTTGTAGACGAGGATCCTCGCGTTGTTCTTCTTGTACGGTTTGAACTTGGTGACTAGAGTGTTTGTCGCGTCAGCTTTGACCAAGATCTCCTTCTGACGGTCCTCCTCGCCGTCGGTCCAAGTCTGAATCTTGTAACCCTTGAAATGTCCTCGGACGGTTTCTGGGGCGACCGAATTCCAGCTCAGGAGAGCGGTGGTACCGGTGGTCACTTGGACGAGGGTGAAGTTTGAGGGTGCCTGAAGAGGCACATCTTCGCCTGACCACCCGATGACTTCGACTGGGGTGACGTTTGATGTTCCTTTCGAGTTGACGGCGATTACCTTTGGGAGGAAATAAAAAATACGTTACACGGTATTGTTTTATGTTTTAGTTTTCACGTTAATGAGATTCGTTCGACATACGTTATTGATAGATAGGAAGAATACATCTTGTTTTTATTATTTTGTTATGCAAAATGTAACCTGTGCTTATTTAAATAAAATATATTTTCATACCTTGATCTTGTAGGGTTGGAAAGTAGGTGTGTTGTGGACAATGTGTTCTGTCTGCTGCCAGTCACGAATCTGCAAAGATTTACATCATAATGTTATTACCTATTCAGGATTTCTTAATCATTTTATAAAGCAGCATTCCATAAGCTGCTGAGGATACTTTTTCGAATAAATACCTGCTGCTCTTCCCATTGCTGTCCAGTGATGTTGCGTCGCCATGACACTAAGTAGTAGAATCCAGGACCATTGTGCTCGATTTGAGGCATTTTCTGGAACATACAATACAGAATAATACGCACGATGATAATAACTCACGCGCATGACATTCTTCACTTGTTTACAGCTTTGCTGGATGTGTGAATTGCACTTTATCTCGCCTTAAGAGAGTAGCTCTTTGGGCTGTTGAGACAGTTATTCAATAAATGATTTTTTAACTTTGAGTTACACTAATCGACAGGTGAGTTTTTAGGTTTATCCAGGAGCGATTAACCCTCTATAAGGCACATGATGAAATTTCATTAGGTTTTGACCTTATGATGAATGAAGTAAGATTCAAATTGTGGTGGCAATATGTTTACAGAGCCCTGTAAAGGTAAATTAAGTTGATCAGCGCTTGAGTTTATCTATTACTAGCGACGGCGACGTCATACGCGTGGATCCCGTTTTACCCCCTTAGGAGTAGAACTTTGAAAAATCCCGTCTTAGTGAGCACCTACTTTCTAAAAGGAACCCCCATGCAAAATTTGGGACTCCTAGCACTTTTAGTTTTTGAGATTTAGTGATGAGTGAGTCAGTCAATCAGTGACCTTTCGCTTTTATAGATAAAGATAGATAGATACCAGAGTAAATACAAATGAGTAGGTCATCTTCATAGAAACGCCCGAGCGCGGTTTGTATGTGAGCTCGCCAATACGTATGCGGAGCGCACGCACACACTGACAAAATTTAGCGTGGATTAGCGGGGAGGTACGCTGAATTTTGTCAGTGTGTGCGTGCGCGCCACATATAAACCGCGCTTGGTGTGTTTCTATGAAGATGACCTACTCATTTGTATTTACTCTGGTATCTATCTATCTTTATCTATAATATTTACTCTATAGATACTGACCGACCAAGAGATGACCATGTTAGTGGGGTCGGTGCCCTTTCCCTCCACGTTGTCGGGGTTCTTGTAGGGCACGTCGGGCTGCGTCGTGCACACCTCCGAGTGTGGCGAAGGCGCCGACGGCCCGATCTTGTTCCATGCGATCACTCTGCGGAAGGTATGACACGTTAGTATTTACATACGTCATCAGTGGTGTATCTAACTGCTGTAGACAAACTTGGAAAAGCATCTTTATGATAACTAGCTTTCCGCCCGCGGCTTCGCCCGCGTGGATTTTTGTCTGTCACAGAAAAACTTTATCGCGCGCGTCCCTGTTTCAAAAACCGAGATTAAAACTATCCTATGTCCTTTCCCGGGACTCAAACTATCTCTAAGCCAAATTTCATCAAAATCGGTTCAGTGGTTTAGGCGTGAAAGAGAGACAGACAGACAGAGTTACTTTCGCATTTATAATATTATAGTATAGATTAACGTAACCAGCCGGGCTAGGATGCGCGCCGTGATACAATTTTATCGATGATTTTAAACTACAAAATGTAAGCGTGAAATCAATAAAACAGAGCGATAAAAGCTGCAACTTAGGCCTATAGGAATTGAAAACTATGATTGTGAAATAAAAGCAGTCTGTATTATGATATTGAAGAAAATAAAGCGCATAAGCTCCGACTATGTAGAGAGGATGGGCTTATCTTAGAAGGCCGACTGGTCGACCTTCGCTTTCGGTAGCGCTGGGGTAATGTGGTGGATGCGGTTCTTCGCGCGCATTTTGGATCACTGCGTTCTCGAAGTAAGTATCATTATGACATCAATAAACTATGTTCTGTACAGTAATCCAGTATCGTTTCATCCACGAAGACGCGCCCCACCAATTTTTGGTCGGGGAAAGCGCGGGGTGCGGAGAGTTTGATCCGAGCAATCCGAGCGTCATTATTGCAGTGTGCGTGTGCACTCATGAATAATTTAGCTTGTACCGATAAGGGGTCATCCATAAAGTACGTCACACGTAAAGAGGGGGGGAGGGGGTTGACAAAGTGTGACATAGTGTGACAAGGGGTGGGAGGGGTCCTAAGTTTCGTGACATCACATTTCAATTATTTCAAATATTTGACATAATGTTGATTTCATAAAAAAAGTACTTAATTTAAATGGAATTAAAAGTAATTTCGGAACTGCTGTTAATTTAATAATTTTTCGATGTGAAATTGCAAAACATGTGACGTCNATTTGACATAATGTTGATTTCATAAAAAAAGTACTTAATTTAAATGGAATTAAAAGTAATTTCGGAACTGCTGTTAATTTAATAATTTTTCGATGTGAAATTGCAAAACATGTGACGTCACACTAGGGAGGGGGGGGGTCTCAGAAATGTGACCACCTGTGACAAGGACGGAGGGGGGGTCAAAAAATCATGAAATTCGTGTGACGTACTTTATGGATGGCCCCTAACACACAAACGAATGGTGGGGCGCGTCTTCGTGGATGAAACGATCTATGTACCAAAATTAATATTTGCATGCTTCGTGTAAGCAAAACATGACTGAACATTTTTCTGTGTAACATCTGTATATACCGTGTTTTAAGCAAATAAATGTGTTCTTATTCTTCTTATTCTTACCTGAAAGTGTAGTTGGCCCAGGGGCTGAGCTCGACGGTCCACAGCGAGTCGATGGCGGGCACATTGTCACTGGCCGCGTCCCACGAGTCGGGCGTGAAGCTGGTGTTATACTGGATGCTGTAGCGCAGGATGGGAGCCCGGTTGTCGCCTTTGGGCTTCCAGCGGAGGTTGGCTACTTTTTCGTGGCACTCGATGCCTTCTAGCGCGGGCGGGTTCGGCTTGTCTGTTATTTTGATGGAGATGAAACAGCTTGTTAATTAACAACATTCATGGTTTACACTATATTCCACCTATCGTTCCCACCGATGCAACTCCTGTGTAGCCAGGATCTATAGCTTGACCGTCAATAAAAATCCCAACCAGTGAAGTTTAATTTTGTCCCGGGGGAAAGTTAAACTGTCATTGGACCCGCAACGAAATTAATCAGAAGAACATAGAAGGAGTTCGAAGTTAAGGTTCGACTTCCCTCCATTACAAAACGGATGACAGGTGACAAAGATTTAGTAATCTTTATGAAAAGATATGCACTACGGACAATAAACATCATCATGGTTTACACTATAGAGAACTATTAATCCCAGTGTTTGCCTACACAATGTGTGATGTTAAGCCAAGATAACGTGTGTACTATGGTAATCGATAGGTGATGATGTCACTACCGATCGATTGACACACTTTTTAATTTCCATTGTTTTCATCGATCTTTTTCTGTGGTGGTTTATAAATTATAATCATTCGTCATATAATAAGGGTTGAGACAGGCGCGAATGCAGCTCTCAAAAAGATTATGGGCACATCACACCCACGTGAAAATCAGTCAAGTGTTGGGGAATGCAATCACATGACACTTTTGGCCAATAGTTTCGCTAGAAATATCAATGACTGCAATTTAAATCTCTAAAATAGAAGCAAAACTGTAAACTATAAGTATTTAATGTCTGAATTGTAAAACTGACCTTGCACAATAAGCGTAGCTTGAGCGCTCGCTTCATCAAACGCGGTACGCGCTATACACGTATATTCTCCGGAATCCAGCTCCGTAGTATCAGATATAAGCAGCGAATAGTCGTTGGTCATGCGGTACCGCGGCTGGCTCTCGAAGTCTATCGGCTGCCCGTCGATGAGCCAGACGATTTCTAACTTGAGAGAATCGTCGGCGTTGGCGTTGCAACGGAAAGTCGCCGCTGAGCCCGCTGCTACCTCGTAGTTTTCGGGCTTGTCGGTGATGACGGTGTGCTCTGTAAATAATTTGTTAATGATGAACTTCTATAGACAATATCAAACAACCGGCAAGATAGAAAAAGTAGTAAAGAAATCAAATAGTAATCCATCATATCACAAGGTCGATTAAATCTGCGTACAAGTGGGCTAGGTTGACTACAAAAAGGGTAGATAGTAGCCGACTGAGCCCGTGGGCTGTTCGGTTAGTGGCTGAGTCACCCACAAAAAACCGAAAGCGGTCAACTGATCCCACGGGCTTAACGGGCTCTGATGTTTATACAATGCTTGTTCCTTTCCTGGATTTTAAATAGGCCAAGAAAATACTCACTCTTAACAGTCAAAGATCCAAAGGCAGACTTCTCTCCAAACTTATTCTTCGCGTAACACTGGTATGTTCCTACATCCGTGAACGACACGTCGCGGATCACCAGGTCACCATCAGGGGTGATGTTGTATCTATAATAGAAAAGAAGTTATTTATAGGGGACATTGGGTTTAAACGATGAATCAAATACGTTTGGAGAAACCCAGGGGACTGATTGGAACTAAACGTATAATCGTGTGCTTTAATTTGTTGTGGCACTGACCAGTCTATCTTTCTCTTGTTTTCAATTTGAGTGGGAAATTACTTCGATAGTGACACATTATATGATTTTTATGTTTGTGTCATACTTATAATCCAACTCTCTGAAATCTTAACTACGGAGATCTAATTTATGTATAGAGATTTATTGCCCGTATTCACAAACATTACTATGATGTCTCACAGTGCACGTGGACGCACAGGGTGACACACGAACGACAGAACTTTATTCAACACTGTGCGTTCGATTTGCTGCTTCACTTAAGCAAGCATCGTTTGTGAATACGGGCGTATATTTTTAGTGTCACTAATATTTTTAAAATAAATGTATCATGGTTAATCCTTTCGAGTACAACAAACAAATCCTAAGTAAATAAAGGCTAAGCTCCATTAATGTAGAAACTCGCTCGTAAAAGCTCAACACGTAGCACATAAACGGTGCTAGCAACAGGACCATTGGTAAAGGTCGCCGAATTAATCGCGGTATCGATCGCCCTATCCAGGCTATTTCGAGGATCGCACCTGAAAGGAAAGGTATCAAAGGGCAAGTGCTGACATTTATCTCGTTTGATGTTCATTAATTGAATTAATTGACGCCTCGCTCTAATAAACTTCGTTTAAATAGAACCAATAAAATCAATGAAACAAGACAATTGACTGGCAGTTAAATAAATCATAGACAAAGATTTAACTCAATCGATGTCCACACAGATATCTGATGTTTGATTTGCTATCAAGCACTCGTGAAAATAAGAGCAAAATTTTATTGTTAAACTTGTATGAACATTGTTGGTTCAAATCTTGTATAGGAAGATTTGAACCAACAATGTTCATTTCATGACGACGATAGTTCGTCTACTTTTATATCAGTACTATGTCCACGAGTGCCTTTGTTTTGACATTGCTATAAATAAATACTTCTGTGAACAAACACTCGTCCGGCTGATGTATTGTTGTCTAGCTAGACCCATGTTATAGGTGTTATATGTAGATATAGAACTTACTTTCCGCCAGTAAGGTCCACTTCGTCTCTCATCCAGCGTACAATAGGCTTGGGGGCACCAAACACCCGGCACTTCAACACGGCTTCAGAGCCGTCCACCTTGGTCAGGTTCTCGGGGCCTTCCTTGATCTCCGGCGGGATCGCTGCAATTAACAAACACAATTATATTTCGGTAAACTTGCAGTCAGGTCAAAGTCATTATGAACTTTACAAACACGTTTTTGGCGCCAACCTTTTCAACGACCCTCGCGAGTCGTAAAAGTTGGTACACAACGTGTTAATGTGCGTGTATCTGAAAATAACGGCAGAATTACGCTACAATACAGTAGTAGTTGCATCACAAACGTAATTTTGCTGTTATTTCCAGCCACATTCATGGCGCGCAATTATCTACACCCACAGTCGTAAAATCCAGACGCAACTAATTGCTACTAAAATACAATTGCTAATTGTCCTGATTTATAGATAGTCGGTCGGTACCAGAACAGAGTATTGACTTATCAACCAAGACTGTTCATACCCGCATGGTACGTCATCCACGCACAGTGTAACTTATAAATTACAGAGTACACAACAAAACTAACAATATCCGTTACATTTTGTGTGGATTGCGGTGTGGGCGTGCGAAGAGATGGGCTCATGAGGATGTGCCCAATAGACGTCAAAACTAGATTACGCGCAGTAAAATGAGATGTCAGGATCTAATACAGACGCCAGAGCGGCTTATGTGTGAGAGACTGTTATAAATGTCCCTACTTTTTAGACAATTGAATCGTTAAACGTGTATTCGTTAAATAACCTGAATCTAAAACAAAGTTTCATCTACCGAAAAGTATTATGGGTGGACTGTTACATTGTAAGAATATTTGAAGGTTTCTACTTTGTGCTAACAGCACATAAATCTTTCTCAACAGTTAGTGCATCTAGCTAGCGGATGAGTAATATCGATGCCTTACATAGTTACACTCCGAGCAACGACATAGTTTCACCGGTGCAGCAAGCACCCACGCTTGTGCATGGAAATAGTTTACCATGATGCATTGCATCCCAGAGACTTGTTATCTGCATTGCATACCTCAAGATAAACTGCGAAGAAATTATTCAATTTACATTATTATAATGAAAATCACTCTTAATATTGCAAACTTACAGTATCACCATCATCAAAAATGGTCCTTAAGAAAAACGACCCATTTTCTTTGGAAACTCCATTACGAATTCACTGCACGACTTTTCCGCGTGCCAAACTTTAGCATAACAAAAAGTAGCGAATTCCAGACGACCATCCAAACTCCGTGGGACTTCCTTACATGGGCCCGGCCACGTGCCGTGCACGCCGGATTAATCGCGCACCCAAGGGCAAGTACTCTTATTGGTGTTGCATAACGTCCTTTAGTTATTGTTGGGAATAAAAAGGAACTGTTCTCCAGACCTTTTGTTACAAGCCAAAGAACAGGTTAACCTCGTGAGATTGAAGTACGCTTTTGTGTAACGTAGAACTTTAAGTTCTAGATTATTTTTGTTCTATCTAAGCCAGACGGCCATAAATATTGTAACTATATTCGTAAATCATGATCAATAGGTAACATGTTCTTAAGGCCCGTTTTCCATCTTCCATCAATGCGGAGAGGAGAGAGATGTGTTTGAATAACCAATCAGATTTCGTTATTTCCACATCATCTCTCCGGTCAGTTCGATTCCGAAATAATTGATTATTCAAAGACACTCCTCTCCTCTCTGCTTTGGTGGAAACCGGGCCTAAACCGCTGATAAAGAGCTTTCAAACATCAAACGACCCCGTTACATTCCTATTAGAGCATTACCATTTTCCCTTACACGTCTCGGATTTGCGATCACTAACTCATGTCAAAGAGCAAGCGGTAGCATCCGAAATGCGCTCGAATTGCTGAAAGCCTTTGTTCAGGGCGGAAAAATAATGGGCTGTTACTTTACAAGTCAAAGTTGAACGAACACGTTGCCTGTTACATATGAAACATACACGTATGTATATGTATAGGCAGGGTGCGGTTCACGTATATCGCATTCCGAATGGGCAACAGTGTTGGCCCAACACTTAGCTCAAATCACCTCGCCCAAGGGCAAGCTCTTTGCACTATTTGCATAACGTATGGACGTAGGACGATATGAAGCAGAAGATAATGGCAAGAATTGTATTTTTACATCTTGCAAGGGGTTGCACCCTACATTTATGAGCCAATTTGGAAAATAGCCTAGTAAATGGGTTGGATCAAATGTGAGTATCATATTCGGGTATTCCTGGGATGCTATGGCGTCTCATATTAGTCTGATATCTGGACGATGACCTCATTTATTACTCATACAACCTCACAAAAGACGGAAGGGATATTTTTCTATATCTATGAAATGTCTATTTTAAACTCAAAATAACTCATAATTTTATACTTTCTACGGTGCTGCATTCCAACGGAATAGATCAACTAAAACAAACAGTTTAGGCAACAATAGCCATATTGTGCTAAAAATACGAGTTCAAAATTGGTACTTCCTCTAACTGGGGAGTGGTTCCAGTCCAACGCTGCTCTCCATTTGCTTATGTTACTTTCGGAATAATGGATTAGAAGATTTAGCATAACATTCAGGATATTATCCTTCCTACAAACACACATTAAACTTTATGATATTATTAATATTTGGTTTCTTTTAGTTGTGGAATCTTGTGGTTTGAAGTACAAAACGATTCCTCAGAAATTATTGAAGCAACATAGCCTATTATTACTATGACAAGTATACCATAGTAATAAAAGGCTGTGTTGGTATGTGGCGTGTACTCCTTCTAAATTACATTTGGGTAATTTAACTTTTGTCGTGTGACGTGTACACGTACTATCATCGGATTATCCTGATGACTCACTGAGGTCGTCGAACCAGGGAAAAAATTCGGGAATTGGTTTCCGTTAGGGTTGTCAAATTAAATAAGGATCAGATTTCCATTAAGCTTGTTTTTATGGGACTGACAATGATTTTTTTTTTAAATACAGTCTACGAGGAACTTTTTTCTGTAATTTGCTGTTATAATAAAAATCAAGCCCACATAATACCTAATCTACTGCAAAACTACGAAGTAGGTACGTGCCTTTTTCTTCGACAAAAATATTCGTTTACTCTAGAAAGCACTACCTAGAAGTTTACAAGAATCATTAGTAAAATGGATTTCTTAAAAAAAACTGTCGTCAACCCTAGGCATCACCCTGCACCCCTGAAAGGCTCGCCGCTCCTTCCCGCACGTCAGAGGGTGGCAGGCCCCGGCAGGTAGTTGTTTGCACACGCGATGCTACGCCGTGGGTGCAGCTGGACTTTTATGATCCCATACAACAACACACCGAGTCCACAATCCCGCCAATTTGATACAGTTTAGGATTAACAAGATGTTTTGCTTGCGGCCATCGCGCGATATTGGCTGTTATAGCTACAATGTGACTTGACAGTAAGAGCTATTTTGGTAAGAATTCACAAGGATCACAACGAGACAGATCACGTGACACACGTCACACGTGCGGATTGGACAGGATCACGTCTAATCTATTGCTATTGTCGTATGTTAGTTGTAAGGATTTTTCTGTCACAATAGTGTTTTGAAACCACAATACCATGAAATATCGGACTAATAAAACGGATATTAAATTACAAGACCCTCGGGCTTTGATATTGGCAAAACATTTTGCTATCAATTTCCACATGGATAAGCTTGAGTCACGTCTTCCACTGATCGTCTCTTTGTTGAACAATCAGTCAGTTGCGTCATGTTACATTTATATATTTTGTTAATATTTATTTTTCCATATGTGGATATAAATAGTGGCAAACTAAAGGAATCGTATCAAACAATATGAATAACTTGTATTCAGAATCTGTAAGCTGGCGACAAATTCAACGTAGCAACCGCACAAAAACCAAACTTATTCAAGTTAACAATAAGTTTTTTGTACAGCGAACAAATACTTGGCTAGATGAATGAATATCGTTCTCAATTGGAGCAAGGCCAATAAAAGCAGCTTAAAATCATAAAACCCGTCAGTTGGTGAGCGAGCCACAGCTCGTGGGTCGGACATCCCATGATCAATTATAACTGACGTTTATGGCGGTGCCGGAGTTCATTTCGGACATAAAACTTTTATATTAAAACTGACAACGTGAGTAAAGGGACTTTTAACAATGTCGTTATTTAGTAGTCCAACCCACCGTCCAAAGCAATGTCGTTAGATTGGATGTGATGTATTCGAATAAAGCAGTCGAGAACATCAAATGTCACTTTTGCAGCTCGTATTGAGAAATCGGATTCGTCGAAAACGTAGGCAGATAAAATAAACGCAATCATTCTTGTATTACAAATATCACAATATACAAGTGTAATAAATGAAAAACGGCAATGACTAGAAATCAACAATTTAGAGTTATTATCTTAACTTCGTTAATAGATTTCTAATACAGTGTATTATTACCAACACGACCGTTAACATTTGGAACGTAACACGCGAATAAAGCATTATAGTCTAGTCTGGCTAGACAATAATTTATTGAGCATTAAGGAGTAGAATGGATAAATGTTTCAGTAATGAAGATAGAATCACACAATGCAGAATTAATTGCACTAGAAGAATAGTCTGGCAGAGAAACTGGGGCAAAGTTCAGGACGCATCGGACTTAAAAATGCGTGCCAATTGGGTCGCGCTATACCACTGTCCAGTTGTAGATGACTGTTCATCTTTCGGCGGAGTGTCCCATGGCGGAAAAATGCAAGAAATACTGCCATGCATTCCAAGAAAGAGACAGGATACTGAACGGCAAACGACATTAATAAACACTACATACCGATAAGTGGTTTATTATTTCTGTACGAATATTATCATGCCAAATCCCTTGAATTGAACTTGCTCTTAACTAATGTCAGTCCAGTTAAGATCTTACCTAAGAAATATAGCAGTAGAGACACATATTGAAATTTAAAAGCGGCTACGATATTGTGGGTTGGAATAGTCATCACAATTCGTACACGACTTGGGAGCGTTGCAGCGACAATACTATCAATACCCAGGAGGATATCTCGGTGCAGCGAGCTTGTACTACATATTACTTGTTCTGTTGTCGCGAATGACATGGTCCCGAGACGCTGCTACCGAGGAATCTAAACGTACCTACCACACAATGCATTCCCTGACATACGCGAACCGAGTATAGTACCTACGAGTTAACGTTCCAAACAAACTGCCTATTCATGAGATACGTGACAATATTCGCGAGTAGATCGAGTCATAATATCGAATGTGACACATCCAAAATAATATCCGAACTTTGAAACATATCCAAACTTTGATTATTTATCGAAGTTGGGACCAACAAAGCATGAAACTTATGCCTTCGTCTAAGAAATCCTGCCCTCAAGGCGGGATTCGAAGTTGTTATAATGTCCAACCCAATGTATTACTTATGTGGTTACGTCATTCGCAGCATAAACATTACCATATAAGTTTATTATATTGATTTATTCAAGATAAGCTAAGTACATGTGGGACATAACTTGAACGCTTCGAAACTATGTATTCTCAATCGGGTAAGAACTTGTAAATTGCTGTCATACGAGCGTGCGTGCCTTTCGCTCGTATGCGAGGCAGCCACGACCTCGATCTTTCACGTTTCAATGATAGAAATATATCTTGTAAATTGCCAACTCCCAAACTTTACAGATAAATAGAGAATTAATACCAAAAAGTTACATATTCCAATTCCATGTATATTGGAATCTACTTTTATCTTTGAATCCCCAATAATCGGAGTTTAGTCCTCGTCCAATCCAATTACGTGTACGTTAATGTCTCGCTGCCCCTGACAATGAAAAATGACATAATATCCTGCGCAGCGATCATATTCAAGTGACCTACAGACACGATGTTTTGAATCTCTGTGAGATGGGTGACAAAAAATATAGAGACCATTTTTTAGCCTGATTGAACAAATTGATCTAATAATTAATTATCTTCTGAAGACGTGTTTTTAAAGCATTCGAATTCTGTAATTAGTGCTCGGATTAAAGAATTCGAATTCACGACTTCGCATGTGCGAAAATTGATTTCTGTCTGATTACCAACTATTTCTTAATTATCCGAAAGTCATTAAAATCAAAATTTAAAAGTGTTTACATTAGGTTTTTTTGTTAAGTTAGAGCCAGGTAATTTATTGTTGGTAATTGATTCGTCATAATTTATATGGATTTAAAAACAACGCCAATTACAAGTTTATATCTTAACCAACTGTATGTCTAACAACATAGAAAACGCAAAAAGACGCAACATCGGTAGTGCTCCCAATCGGTACACCGGCGATTGAGTGAAGTTTGCGAGAAGCACCTAGATGAGGACAGTACAGGAAATCCTTGGGAGAGACGTTTATCCAGCTATGTTCGTTTCGATTGAAACGAAAAAAAGACATATGCAACAATCAGAATAAAATAAAAGCATCAAGATTACTCACATTGTACGTTGATGTAGACATCCTTGTACACGAAGCCGATGGAATTGGTGGCGTTACACCCGTAGTTTCCAGTGTCCTTCTTCACCAGGTCGGTGATGATGATAGAGTCGGCGGTGACCTGCCGCCGGGGGTTGGGCTCGGCCTGCTCGATGGGCTTGCCGTTGTGCACCCAGGATATCTGGGGGACAGGGGTCCCGCCGGCCTGGCAGCGGATGACGGCGGTCTCGCCTTCTGCCTTATTCTGGAACTCGGGCTCTTCGGTGAAGAATGGGGCGGCTGGAATAGAATTAGAAGATTAGTGATGTGCAAAAACAGTATTAACTTTTAGCACAGCGTGGGTCACTTTTTTGGATTTTAAAGACAAATATCCAACGCCGTGTGGTGACGACAGGGTAGAATACATTTATCACTAAACCCTACTCTTCCCGCGGGTGCCCGTAAGAGGCGACTTAGGGACTACACAATACCTACTACACATTAAACAGAGAACGGGACAAACTTGACCTGCATTGGTGGGGTTTCTGTAGATCCTGGCTACACAGGATTTGCAGCGGTGGAAAAGAGAGGTGGGAATAGTCCCGTTTCGCTCCCGTGGCGCTCTCTCATAAACATTAATCTTTTAAACTGCGATCTCCAACCCGCCTGTGGTGGTGTTATGGCAAAACCCTTCACTGAAGTGGAGGAGGCTTATAGTCCAGCAGCAGTAAAGGGCCATTGATGATGATGATCCTACGCCATTAAGTTCTACCGTTCCGATTGATTCTGTCTATCTATCTTCCACCATGTCCCAAACTACTGAGGGCAGCTGTCTGCTCGTTATCCACTTACTTGTTGCACTAAATTTTACTTGATTGAAACCAACGACCGTAAAAGTCGGATAAACAAATTAAAGAAGTTTAAACGATAATAAAGTCTCTTTAGTTAGGACATAATAACAGAAATAAAGAAAATATAAGTAGGAAACTGCATTATGAACATCCAAGTTAGCTTTGTTTTATTACCTCGCAAGTGGTTGTTTTACGGCCAGCTTTGAATATTATGGATCCGCTTCATACATTCAGTTAAAGTTATTCAAATTAAATTGCCAAGAATACGATGTTGGCGCGGCAAAACAGTACTTTATTATTTTATATGATACCTACCCAACAAATGCAGTTTACTGAATCTACTAAGAAAGCTCCAAGAAGATACAAATAATATAATCATGGAGTAAACACAATAGGGGTCTTATCCCTAAAACGATTTCGATTTTCGGTCTACTCAATCCGTCTCTTTCCTTCGACTTAAAGCAGCATTTCTGAGTGAGCTAAAATACATACGAGTAACTTCATATAAGCCAAACTCGTTTTACGGAGATTCTAGATTTAAAAGTAGTCTTACGATACAAGAGGTTACAATTTAGAAGATAAAATCGCGTTTACAGTTCTAACGGCTTCATAGCAGTCAATCGTAATGAAGCAATTACCACCGCTACAAGTTCAATTGAGCTGCTTTTACAAGTGTATTTAAAAGTTGCACTAACTGTAACCCTAAATTAAAGACGGTAGAGCAAATGCTCTTTTAGCTGCACCGCCTAGTGCTTTTCTCATTTGCGTAGTTTCTCTTTTGAGGTTTATGTAGGACGAGACTATTGTGTGTGTAAGTGTTACCATATAATATTACATTTTAATTGCAAAAAAAGTCAAAAATTATGTGGTTTCAGACGTAAACTATGTTACTGGTTGCATAAAATAGGTAATTCATTCTTGGGGAAATGTATTAACATATTTAACAAAATACCACACAACCTTGTCGAATTGCCAATAAACAAATTTAAGATACATATAAAAAATACCCTTATGTCCAAAGGGTACTACAAGGTTCGAGACTATATTGATGACAAGGATGCGTGGTCAGTTCAGTCTGCACATATTTGATGTACTCGAATTTGGTTATTCTTAGCGTTAGATAATTCCCGGCAATTAGTGGTGACTGAGTTTGTTCCGGCGTTTCTTCTCAGCACTTGCCATATGTTTGTCTCGAAGCGCTGGTAGGGCCCAAAAGATAAGGAGACATGTAAAGTGCCCCATAAGGGCTAACTTTTCTTTCTTTTTTATTATTTTCTATAATAATTTTGACGTTCATAAGTGCCACTTGTGGTCTAAACTGAATAAATACTTTTGATTTTGATTTTGACTATTTTGATATTTTCACACCTACTACTATTTTCACAAATAAATATCTTACTGAACCGCAATGTATAGTCAAAGGTATGTAATTTATGTCAGAAATCCTATTATTCCATATTTATCCATAAAATCTGAAGAAACGAGGGCAGTCACCCCTCTAGGATTTCCCGACTCGTCAGCGTCGCTAAGTATTCTTAAACGTATCGGGCGAAACCCGACAACGCAGTCTGGGCTCCAGTTACGCGGATTAGATATAACGAAGGCTCCAGAGATATAGATTTCACTAGTAAACTGATTTACGGTATCGTAATGGACATTTATGTAAACAAGAGTCGGTTTATTGCTGGTAAAAAGACATTGGAATGAAACGACAACAAGAGAAAAACCGCATTTCGGACGATTCTCTGGTGTTAATTAAGTATCCATTAGCACTAAATAAAACTGTTAAAATTTCCTTTAAAGACTGTTTTGGTACTTCAAACGATATTTTTTCCATGAAAAAAGTACCATTAACAGTTTCAGCGACTTCAAAGTTAAGAAAGTTGAGCTGTGAGTGGAAATTTCGCAAAAGAAATGCTTACTTTTTCTTGCCTCCAGTTCAAAAGAGATTAGGGGAAGGGGAGTGAAGTATTTACTCGCACAAAGTAAATATGTATGAGGAATATAAGCGAAGGACTCGAGCGTAAGAAAATATGCGAGGTAGAGAGAGCTAGATAAATAGGCGCACCGCAACCTGTTTTACAGGGAGCTTTAGTGGAAATATCACTGATAACGTAAACCTAGCTCCACACTATTCCGCTTCCTCGCAATCTTCGTGGAAATCCAACCAAGTGTAGCAGCTTTTTAAACGATAGGCCAAGTTTCTTGAAATAGTTTCGTTTACACAATGGATGGATCAAGGAAGGAAGCTTCTTTATGCCTTCTGCCACCAATGTTAATTATACAGGGTGTTTGGCGCAACGTGTGCCAAAATGATTTGGCAGATAGAATGGGTCCTTTCCTATATTTTCAGCCCCCATAACACGTTCCATGCCGGGCGGCTACTTATATATTAATTTTTTTAGTAATTTCACCAAAATACCCAAATCGCATCATTTAATTTCGATTTAAAAAAAAACTACTAGGCGTAGCCTCAAAGTAAATATTTTGTTTTGACGTGCATTGATGTAGGGTTGCATCAAATCTAAATTTACTGGCAAATATCATCTAGTTTTTTTTTAATTCAGCTTTGAAGTTTTTCTAAAAGATAAAAATGGACTGAACATTTAAGTTTACATGGCTATAAAAAAATAAATAAAAGAGATAGCGATCTTCGGATTTTATCGAAACTTCTCTAGTCTATCCCCATTTAAACGGTATACTAATCTTGTTTAAATAATAACAATAACTTCACAAATTCCTTAAATTAGTGCATTGACTCTACTCGGACTGATTTGCGAAATTTGTGTTTATAGCCCTTTTTGTGTGAATAGCACGTTATTAAACACCTAACAGGTAAAAATTATTTATCTTATGCAATGTAAAAACCTTTTCCCTATCGTTTTTCAATGTGGATTTCTTGAAATTAAAGACGAAAATAATTATTTTGATCGTTTATTAATTATTACAAATTTTGTTCAAAATGACCGCCTCGGCAACGTATACACTCACGACATCTTCTTCTAATTTTAACTGTTGTCGTATGCAGCCACATTTCTCTTTTTATTACTACAAAGGCGTTTTCTATTCGTTGTTGTAGTTCTTCTATTGTTTGAATCCGTTACGTACACCAGTTCTTTAGCTCGTCCCCAGACGTAAAAATCTAACGGAATTAGGTCTGGGGAACGTGCAGGCCACTGTATAGGGCCATCTCTTCCAATCCACGAGTAGAAAACGCCTTTCTAGTAATAAAAAGAGAAATGTGGCTGCATACGACAACAGTTAAAATTAGAAGAAGATGTCGTGAGTGTATACGTTGCCGAGACGGTCATTTTGAACAAAATTTGTAATAATTAATAAACGATCAAAATAATTATTTTCGTCTTTAATTTCAAGAAATCCACATTGAAAAACGATAGGGTAAAGGTTACATTGCATAAGATAAATAATTTTTACCTGTTAGGTGTTTAATAACGTGCTATTCACACAAAAGGGGCTATAAACACAAATTTCGCAAATCAGTCCGAGTAGAGTCAATGCACTAATTTAAGGAATTTGTGAAGTTATTGTTATTATAGTCTATCCAATATAGCTTGATTAGAATGACGGCTGTCAAACGAATGTGACTAGTGCTGTGTATGTTTCGTACGGTTCACATAGATGTATCGATAAGTTTTCGAAAAAATGATATAAAAAAATGCACCCAATTTTTCTTCATATCTTTATTCATAAAAATGACAATTATGATTTAAATTTAAAGACAGTAAAATTTAAAATTCATGTCAAGGGTGTACAACCTAAGTCGTAGTCATTATCATCAGTGTTCTTCAGTGGTTTTTTCCTCTGGCTAGAGGGCGGTGGGCATCTCTTCTAGAGCAACGGTGCTATGAATACCCAAAAATTACCGGTGATTGATTTCCGATGTTTGATTATTTAAGAATGAAATGTTTTTTGGTTTTTAATAGTGAACATTTAGAAAAACGTATAACTTGACTTAAATATATTAAAAAAATTAGTTAGAAAAAAATTTTGTTAAATATGTTAAAAAAATTGTTTTAATTTAATATGACATTTGTCGATATGTCCCAACACTAACATTTTTGTAACTCGAGATAACCTTGTAGAGACGTCGTTAATACTCTAGCTTGATTTTTATAATTTCGAATTACTACTTATTGGTGTAATTTAACGCTGCATTTACACGAAATTAACATTTTTATTGGAAGCACTGTCGTCGAAAATATTGTTTGTAGGTCAGACGTGAATTATTTCTTGTCCGCCAATATTTAGCTCTCATTGATCGCTACTACAAAGTTATGTCGTTACTTTTGATGGCAGCTGTCATTCTAATCAAGCTATATTGGATAGACTATATTTAAACAAGATTAGTATACCGTTTAAATGGGAATAGACTAGAGAAGTTTTGATAAAATCCGAAGATCGCTATCTCTTTTATTTATTTTTTTATAG